TTTTTTTTTTTTTTTTTTTTTTTTTTTTAGAGTCACTGTTCTCTTGTCCTATCTTTGTGGTCTTTGTTAAAGCTCTTGCTATCAACATCATCATCATCATCATCATCGTTTTTCTGGATGAGGAAGAAAGGATTAGTTGCCTTCTCTTTAAGGAAAATTTCCAGAAATTCCACTAATCACTTCTACCTCCTTCATGTGTAAGCTTGTGGCTCTTTGGAGACTTAGGAAAGTCTGAGAATGTAGTAATTTAGCTAGGCATGTTAGTGTTCTAAATTGAAAAGTTTTATATTTGATAAGAGGCATCTATTTATGTGACTTAACTTATTATGTTGTTTACTTCTCTGTGTCTGCTTGGGTGTATCTGACCTTCCATAGACTAAGAGGTGGTTGGTGGATTATTATCTCTTATTGCTTATGCTTATGTATGCCTACTTTTCCTTTCTTTTTTTTTTTTTGCTACACGTATTCCTTTGGTGCCTATGTATCCGTAACATAGTATCACTTATTGGAAATTGCAGCGGAAGCACGAGAACATTGCTGTAGTTTGGATATTACATGTCAGAGCCTATGTCCAAGGGCTTGGTCCCATGAGTGGTGCTGTGGGAAGGGATGGATCTTCAGGAGGTGTGGCACAGTGGAGGCCCTCAGTGGGGTGACTGGGGCTGTGACCTGAGGGTGCGTGGGACTCCGGTCCTTCCTCATCCTCTCCCTCGCTCCCTGGCTGGTTACATTGGTGGTTTTGCTTGTCAGGCCATCCTTGCCTCACCACTGAGATGGGGCCAACTGGTCCCAGCCTGAAACCTCTAAATCGGTGAGCTCAAGAATCCTTTTCTCTCTATGAGATAATTCCATCAGGTATTTTGTTCCTGTGACAGAAAGCTGACTACCATGAGTGTCTTTATTTTTGTTTAAAGCTAGGTGGGCAGGATATCACCTATGTAGATCTATATGATGCCTGCTTTTTTGTCTGCATTCACAAAGTGTATTTAAAAAATTATATATATTTAAGCTGTACAACAGGATGTTTTACTATATTATACACATTGCAGATTGGATAAATCAAACTAACATCTCCATGACCTCACTTATTTATGTTTTGTGGTAAGAACATATAAAATCTATTCTTTCAGCAACTTTCGAGTACACAGAGAATGGTAATCGACTATAGGCATTGTGGTGTACAAGAGATCTCCTGAACGCATTCTTCCTGTCTAACCCAGCTTTTGTATCTTTTTCTAGCATCTCTCCATCTCACAACCAACCCTGCACCGCAGCTCGTGACAGCCACCTGTCCACTTCTTGCTTTTATGAGTGTGACCACTGTGGATTCCGTGTGTAAGGGAGATCAGTTTGTACGGTTATTGCTGTACCCAGTTAATTTCACACAGTATAGTGTCCTCCCCTTTGTTCACGTTATTGTTGGTGGCAAGAGTTCCTTTCGTATGGGACCGCGCTGTGTGGATAGGCCATATTTTCTTTATCTGCCCATCGGGTGATGGACACTTAGGCTCCATTTCTTGGCTACTGTGAATAGTGCTGCAATGAACACAAGAGTGCAGCTATCTCTGTGACATCCAGCTTTTATTTCTCTTAGATATATATCCAGAGTTCCTGGAACGTAGGGCAGTTTACTTTTAATTTTTTGAGATAACCTCCATACTCCACAAAGGCAAGCTAATTTACATCACCACCAACTTCCATATACTAACAGCGTCTAAGGGCAGTTGTGTTTTCTCCACATGCTTGTCAGTACTTCTTATCTTTTTTTTTTTTTTTTTTTTTTTTTTTTATGAAAGCCATTGTGAGAGTTGAGATGTAACTTATTATTGTGATCTTAATTTGTGTTTTGGTGATGATTAGTCATGTGAAAGGTTTTTTTTTCTTTCTTCATAAGCCTGCTAGCCATTTGTATGTCTCCTTTTGAGAAATATTCATTCAAGTCTTTTGCCAGAAGTAGTAAGATTAGTCTAGTTGGCCTTAGTTCACTGTTTTAAAATCCTGTAAATACTACTGCATGGCCAGGAATGGTGGCCAAAGCCTGTGATCCCAGCACTCTGGGAATCTGAGGTGAGAGGATCACAAATCTGAGCCCCTGCTGAGCCACTTCCAGTGACTTAGAGAGACCTTGTCCCAAAATGAAACACAGGAATGAAAGGCAAAAGCAAAAAACAAACAAACAAAAAAACACCAAAAAACAACAAACAAACCAAAACCGAAGAAAACAAAAATGTAGGTATGCTGTAGATATGCCTCAGTGTGAAGGCCCTGGATTCAAT